CCAGTTAAAGGGGACTTCAGAGGTCGTCAGGTCCAGTGATTGATTTTATGCAGGAGAACCCTGAGTCCAGAGAGGGAGAGTCACTTATCTAGGATCCCACAGCCAACCAATGGCAGGGCTGGGAGCTGAGCCCCAGTTCCCTGACTCATGTGCTGTGTTCGTACTGCACCAGGCGACCTCTCCTTTGTGTGTGTGTGTCTGGAGTGGGATTCAAATCTCTTTAACCTTTAATTGTGAATTAGTTCCAGTTTTATAAAGCAGATCATCAGTTTTACATTCAAAAAATTCATACAGATTTTGTTTTAACTCACACTGTACAATCCCTTCCAAGTAACATCATTTATCCCACTTCCTCCTTGGGGTCCTTCTTCCACTTCTAATCTTCTGAATGTTATCTTTGGGTAGATGCTATTCTAATGATCTTAAATGGTTGCCTATTCTAATGTGGGGTGAGTTCAACTCTAGACCTAAGGGCTATAATCTTGGGGGTGCTACCTATTTCTCTGAAACCCATCAGCCCGGTCTCTTTTATGATTTGAGACCTATGAATAGTTGCACTTTAAATAGATGCTCACACGCTTTTAAGACCCTAGCCACTACCCATCAAATTAGGCCACGAAGCATTATCTTTGTGAGCCATGCTCTCAGGCGGTCACCTGTTAGCCACTCACAGAGCCCTTTTACTCTCCCTCGGCTCTGCCCGAGGATTCCTTCCTTTAAGAAACTCCTTTGGAGCCAAGGCCCAATTTTCCCTCTCGGTGTGCTTTTTCTTCCAGGGTCCCGGCTGGGACCTGGGTGGCCGTGGGGAGCTGGTACCGTGAGGAGGTGAGCGCATGCTCACTCTTGGGCACAGCGATGTAAAGACAGTGAGAGCGCAGGGACCCTCACACAAGACACTGTGTTTCTTTGATCCACTTCCTGCTTCCGTTCTCACCTTCCCCCTTTAGCCAAATAATGTCTTCCCCTGGGACCTTAACCCTTTGAGTCATCTTCTAGGATTGTCCCCCATAATTAGGGTTCCCCCTTTTCTCCTATCCACCTTGTATATAACTCTCCCCCACTTTCAACATCTCAGAGAACGAGGACTGCAGGGTCGATTTATCCTACCGGGATCTCTTTTCCTCTCTCCCTTGTCCATTCACTGCCTAACTGTATGGATTAAATCGTGCCCACCGAAAATACAGGCTGTGAACCCTAACCTCTGTACGTGAGAAGGAGGAGCACGGCGCCTTAGTGGCTCGTGCGTCGGGCTGCTAACCACGTGGAAAGTAGTTCAAAGCCACCAGCCCCTGCACAGCACACAGATGAGGTTTTCTCATCCCATGACGAGTCACAATCTTGGAAATTTGTGGGAGGCTCTCTAGGGTCCCTAGGAGCCGAACGGACTCAATGGCAATGGATTTGGAGAGAAACGTACTTTCTGGATGGACCCCATCTGGGAACAGAGCTGACTTTGTGATGTTAACGAGGTCGTTATCAATGCAGGGGGCCTTCACCCATCACTGTGAAATGTCACCTGGCGGGAAGAAAGTGCGCCTGATCTGCCCCATGCACAGCAGGGTGAAACTCTGGGAGTGCAACCGGGCAGCAAGGGGAGCAAGGGAACCACGTCCTGGAGGCATCCTGGAAATGGACTTCTGCCTTGAGGGACAGGGCTGGGCACCTCATCACACGCAACTGGAAAACACTCAGAAGGGTCAGCAGGCAGCCCTGGGACGGTCTAGCGGGTGTTTGCTTTTTATTTATTTATTTTAAGCATTTTATTGGGAGCTCATCCAACTCTGATCACAATCCATACATCCACCCACTGTGTCCCGCACATTTGTACATTTGTTGCCATCATCATTCTCAAAACATTTGCTTTCTGCTTCAGCCCTTAATATCAACTCCTCATTTTTTTCCCTTCCGTCCTTGCACCCCACTCCCTCAGGAAGCATATAATTTAGAAATTATTATTATTTTGTCATATCTTACACTGTCCAACGTCTCCCTTCACCCACCTTTCTGTTGTCC